AAAAAAAAAAAAAGAAAAGAAAGGGATGCAGCCACATGCTGGTTCGGGGACCGAGCAAGCAGGCTGTGTGTGGTGAACGCTGTGCTGAGAGCAGGACTCCAGAGTGGCTTCCACGCCCCCAGTGCCTGCTGCACAAGCAGCCGACACGCGACTTCTGCTTGAAGGTAACAGCGACCTAGACTCTTGGGGTTTAGCTGAGGAACTGGAACGAAGAGACTGGGACTCCAGGCCAGGTCCACTACTGACCGTCCAGTCTACACAATCCCGTGGCCCCTCGGTGGCCTTAATTAACGGGGGAACTATGAAGAGGAAGCTGAGGAAAACGCCATCGCTTTTTACGTGCAAACTATGACGACTACTACTGCGAACATCATTTTAGCGTACTTACTTTTTAAGGTCAAATACGGTGACTCTATTTCCCACGGGACTGATAACTGAATTTCCATCACATGTAAAATTTAAGTTTCCACACCGATAGACTGTCCCCAGCAAATTTGAAAACTAGAAAGAAAACACAGAGAGTCTCAACTCCAAACAAGGGCTGAGGGCGGCGTCTGGTCAAGGAGCAAGTGCCATGCCCCCCAGGCCCGACCATCCCCTGCGACACTTCCTGGGCACCTACGCGCCGGGCCTGAGCGAGAGAGAGGAAGGAGGGGTGAGACCAACCCCCAGGCCCCGAGCCCCCACCGAGGTGAGTTAGGGGCACCACGCGTGTCGGGGAAACCTCCACAGGCAGATGTCTGCCAGGTGGAGGGGAGCCCGGACCCACGTTTCGGGAAGAGAGAAGCCGCCCCAAGGGAGCCCTGCTGCAGGTGCATGTGGGGCGCAAGGCTTCCCAACGGCCGCCTGCCGGCGTCCCGGCATTCACGCCTTCGCTGACGGTCATCAAACGTGAGGCTCCCCGGTGCAGCTCTGCGGGCAGGTCTCCGCCCTCAGCGCCCGCACAGCCTGGGCCCAGCAGGCAGGGCGGCGGAGAGACACGGCGCGTGCAGCTCGGGGGACACAACCCCAGCGGCAGGACGGACGGAGGGGGCATCTCAGACGCCGGGCAGGGAAAGGCCCCCGGAGCCGGAGCCGGAGGAGGAGCCAGTGGCCGGCATCCGGAGCCGCAGGCCGGCAAGGGCCCAAGAGGATCAGGGAGGCCACGGCGGGAGCTTGGTCGGCCGACGAGGTTTTAAGCGGAGACGGGGGTGATCCCACTCCCACGCCTACGAGCACGAGGCCAGAGGAGAAGGGGCCGGCGAGGCTTCTGCGCAGGTCCGCACGGAAGGGGAGGCGGTCCCTCCAGGCCGGAGAGGGCGGGTGGCCGGCAGCCACGGAGCCCCGGGGCTGGGTCACGGTGACCGGCGAGCGCGAGGCAGGACAAGAGCCTCGAGGTCTGGGCGGCTGGACTAAAGGCCACTCGTGCAAACGCCGACGTCCAGCTCGGCTTCCACAGGCGAGCCTAACAGGACGCCGCACCCAAGGCTCGCCAACGGCAACGAACCGCGCCACGACCCTAAGGCACAGCTTGGGGACGGCTCCCGCCTCTTTACTTGTCACAAATAAGAATAGAGCCTTTTTCCTCCCACGAGACTCGCGCGGCTGCGGCTCGGCCACTCCAGGCCGTGGGCCCGCTGCGCTCGGCTGCAGGCGAGCCCTCTGCGGGGCGTGCAGGGCTCCGCCCGGGGCAGCGCGGGCGTGGGATGCGGCCGCTGGGGGCCCGCACGGGGCTGGGGCTGACCGGGGAGAGGGACGCGGCCCTTCGAGGGCTCGGACCAGCAAGTCAAGGCCGCGCCGGCCTCGGGCGGCCCAGGCCAGCCGGCGGCCGCTCTCAGCGACCCTGGGCCGCGGGGAGGTCGGCGGGCTCGGCACCCGCCCCCGCTCGCTGCGCCCGCACACCTCCCGCGTCTCCGAGCCGCTGGAGTTCAGCCCCGGGCTGGCCTCCCCGTCCGCCCCCCGCCGCCGCCTGCGGGCCCGCGCCCGCGAGGGTTACGCCGTGAGGACGGTGCTGCCGGACGCCCAGCCCACCCAGGCCCCGTTCGCTGGCCCCCCGGCCCATCCGGACCCCGGTGGCTGAGGGCGCTCACCCGGTACGCGAACTTCATCGCGGCGGCGGCGGGGACTAGGCCCCGCCCCCGCCCCTCCGCAGAGCCTGAGCCCCACGCCCCCGCCCTGCCCCGCCCCGAGGCGGAGCCTGAGCCACGGGCCCCACCCCCACGCTGTCCCGGAGCTGCGCACCTGCGCGGGGACCTGGGACCATTCTGGGAAGGCTCTGGTCTTCACCGGCCCAGGGTTGGGCCGACCGGCCAGAACCGTTCACGCACTAAGGAGGGTGAGAAGCACCGATCCCGGGGAGAAAATGAGAAAATTCTTTAACTCTACACACTCAATTTTCACCCCCCCAGCAAAAAAACAAAGTTCAAATCAGCAGTTTCTTCTTAAAATGTGTATTTTCAGAATTATAATGCTTCCATTTTAAACAATCTTAATACAATGCTTTTAGTCTAACAATATATTACAGAATGTGAAAAATGACTTTTATACTAAACCATGAAAATGGAAACCTGCAGCGTCAGTCACCAACTTGTCACCTTTTCCAGTCACAGAATATCAGCAAATTTGTATTGTCTTATAGCCTGACATATAGGATTAAGAAATTCAGAGAAAGGGGCATTTTTGTGAAAAATCTAATTTTAAAATCATGTAGGATTATTTTAAAGATCACAGTTGACAGTAAAACATTTACATCAGCCTAGTTTGTTCTTTTATATAAAGGAGTATATGTTTCCATTTTATATACACACCTGGAGTGTTTAATTTCACTTTAATAATTCAATTTTATTTCAACACTCGAGAAAAACTGAACAGAAGCCTGCGTGTACCTTCTCTAGACTTACTGATGCAGGAGTCCAATGCAGAACGCCTGTGCTGACAATGGAACTGCGGGTAGAAGTCATTTTCAGATTAAACACAACAATTTTCACATTAGAATCAGCAGTTATAATTTTTCCAATCATAGGACACCCCATGAAATTCACCAAAATTATAACTTATTTTTTTTTCCGTTTGTTAGCATTTACATGTTCCACACATATTTGTGAAATGGCTGCATATTCTGGTTTTTAGACGCACACTCAATATCTGGCTTCACAATTATTTAACAGCTGCTACATTTTATCAACAAAACCAGCTTGTCTCAAATGCATAAGCCTTATTTTAAACACAACAAAAATCCAATCACAGCCTTTTAGTTGAAAACAACAAAGGATTTCAAGTTTTAGGTGGCATTCTTATTTTGTGTAAAAAAAAACAAACAAAAAAACCCCAGACACTCAGATAACTTATATTGCAGATCTTTTGGGTAATTGGAGGAAAAAAATAAACCTGGGATAAATTTGATTTCATTCAATTTCTGGACAAGAAGAAACCACCATAAACATTTTGGATTTTCCCCTTCATTTCCCCCCCCCCTCTAAATATAAATGTAATTAGAGAATTTCATCCTGGGATTAGAACACAAAAATCAAACAGAAATAAGGTAACTATTGAATCACATCCTCCTTTCCAGAAAAAGAGGGAAAGCCACATCACAGGCAGGGAGGGTCTGTGCCCTTGGCTCCGAGACTGACCACATGGATTAGAGGCATTTCTGACAGAAATCTCCAAGATCTCTTCCTCACTGGGCTTGGCAGATCTGTGGGCCAATCATCAATTTTTACAATAAAACCAATTCATTTTAGAAACCCTAAACTATCATTAGATTCTGAAGTTCTATTTTGCCTCCCTAGTTGACCAAGTTTATTAGTTTTAAATTGCTCATAAAGAAGATAAATTTCTGGAAAGTTTAATTAAACACACAAATGTTTATCTTCTTCCCACAATTCTCCAATTTCTAGAAATGAAAAGGAAGGACGGGGTAGGGGAGCGCAATCACACCCCTTTATTTGCTGGATGAGTTGAAGAGCCCCGACTGCTCTGCTGTGTACGTGCTGGTCTCACCACCCCACCCACCTCCCTCTAGCAGGTGACAGTCCGGGACCACTAGCAGCTGCAAGGATCCCCCTTTTTCTCTAAGGCTCACGCATTTGAGGTTACCCATGAGGCCCCACCCTCACTTGCATTAACCTGGTCAAGTTCAATTCCAATCACACTTTTCCAGTGAATTAAGAGTTCTCAGTTTCGTATGTACAAAAAGACATCGCTTTGGAGAGCTGGAAAAGGTTTAATACATACAACGCTTATTTACAAGCTGTGACTTTCACACACCAATAAAAACAAACACATTTATTTTGTCCTTGATTTTTGGTGCAACTTATACATAAACATTACATCTGTTAGTTTGTAATTTTTAAAATAATAAATCAACCATATGTACAATTAAATTTACAACTGAAAGCAAATTAATCCATTGGTATGGTATGACTGCAATTTAGTGGACCAGCAGGTACTATTCCAAGACTCGCGTCCCTCCTACAACCAGACTAGAAATACAGAGAGGACCCTTCTAATCTTCACTTCAATGGAACCTCTTAATTTCTAAGATTTAAGGTGCAAAAGAAAAATACTGATTATAGTTACAATTACATGTAAAGGCTTTAAGTTTAAAGGTGAGAGAAAACAAAACATATTAACCCTCACATATATGATAATTAAAATAAATATATATTTAATTTCAAGTGCATATGATAATCAACATTAAGAGGGAAAAAGGGTTCCAGAAACATTCATTCCTAAACTGCCCCAATACGGGCTGTCCCCCTGTGCCCTGCTCTAGTCCTTAAAGTACCTTTGAAATGGCTCTGTCTAATGGCTGCTCAAGGCCCGCCCCTGTGACATCCCAAGGCACAGAAGGGGTTGTTCCCGCCCCACCCCGCCTCTCAGCCCCACCCACCTGCCCTAAAAGGCTGTTATTCTAGAAAAGCACAACTAGATAAGGGGGGGAGGGGGAAGT